TTGGAATGCTGGTTCGCGTTTGCGTTTGTTTTTGCAAAATGTCGCGGTAAGAAAGAGTCGCCACCGTCTTTTATTTTATCCAACAAGGAAAGGACAAAAGCACAGAAAAATTCCTTTTTGAGATATTTCTCGGGTTCGGGAGGTAGATTATAGAAAGGGAAGGTGTTAGCACCCTTTCTATCCGTGGTTATCCACGGGCTCTTAGGTACTTGCTCATTATGTTTTCAAAAGTTTGCTTTTCTTTGTGTTTGTGGGTTTGAAAAGAGTTTTTATTTTGAAAGGGGTGTAAGTGCGAAAAGTTTTGTTTTTGTTTTCAAAAGAGCAAGTACTTAAGAACATCTACCTACTCAAAAAGGAATTAAATTGTGCAAATTTCCTTTAGACAATGCTATCCCACTATTGAGGAGTTGGAAGCATCGTCGTTGGAGTTTTCGGGTCAATTCGATTAAGGGACGTGTGGTCACTAAAGCAATGTTAGGATGCCTTAGTGGTAACCCTAATGTCTTAGATCATTTTATCCGAGGCAACCATTTCAAGGCAACTTATGATCTTTGGACAAGAGGGCGACCTCTAAAACTTCCTATACTCAATGACCACGTTCGAGGCAACCAAGTGAGGTGTATCCTAAGGGTGGCATGTGCGAGTGTATTGTTTTTTCAGTTATATTATCTTTGTACATGTTAGGGTGAGCTACTGTTGATTTTAGGTTACAGATTTATCTTGTCATGCATTGCCTATTATTCAAACATCTAACAGTTAATGATTGCAGAAATTAAATTGCGGAAGATAAATCTAAGCTATTACAAGGCGTCGGGTATTTACATCGCCAAAGACAAACCCTTAAAATTAAATTGCGAAAAGTAAATAAAAGAGATAAATAAATAAAGTCCTAAGTTAAAACTATTACATCCTCGAAAAAGTTATAATATTGAAATATGGATCAAAAATTATACGCGCGTGAGAAAATTAAATCAGAGTGTTTTTAGGGTTTTGACCCTTTTTTCATTCAATAAAGCATATTTTTGTTATTTTTTGAATTAAAAATTAGTCTAAATTAATAATTGAATTAATTAATTAAATGAAAATATTTTTGGGTTTTTATTTTAATTGAGGAAAAATAAGAATGGTCAAACATATTAAAAACCTAATTCTAGATTAATTTTAATTTATTGCAAAATATGTTATTATTAAACCTAATTAAACTAAATAAATAAATTAATGTTTATTTACAAAAATAATAAAATAGTGAAATTAAAATATTATTTTTGTTTTCTGATTTTATGAGAAAAATTATTAATTGGTTAATTAACAATAAAAATAATAAAACAAATTAAATAAGAGAAATATAGAAAAGAAAAGAAAAGAAATAAACCAAAAGGGGTTTGGGCCCCAAATCAGGAGGTTTGGTCAGCATTTCCTTGGCCCAAACGTATTCCAGCCTGCTTTGACTTTCATTATTCCACGCGTATGCCTTGACTGGGGCGTATGGTGAGCATCCAATTTTAGCCATTGGATTTGGCCTGCAGGCCATTTGGCATTTGATGGGATGAAGATCATGGTGATCCACGCTTGGCATGCTGCATATGAACGCCTGAATAAAATTGCAAATAAAATTTTGGGGGACCTGGGATTCGAATCCAGGTCCCAATACTCATATTCCAGCGCTCCAACCACTCAACCAAACAACTTCATTCGTTAGTGGAATACAAAATAAATAATATATGGACAAAACACTTTCTATGCCTGAAAAATAAAAAAAATTTGGCGCGTTGTTTAAACCGGACAATGGGAAGAGGACGCGTAGTCGTCTTCTTCGTTGAAATAACCAGGTTTTTACCTGCGGATTTTGTCCGCAGCTAAATTCCTAGGTGTGTCCTAGAATTCACCCTAGGCCATAGAAATGCAATCCAAAGCCATGGCTGACTTCGTCTCTCCTCCCTGAGTATCCCTGTATCAATTATTCGCCTTGATTTTGCCTGTACACAAAATGCCTAAAAACAAGAAAAAGAACCCTAGGTTCTGGATATGGGGTTAGAGGCCACGAAAATAAAATCAAATATTACAGAATCAATGGAAATTGAATGGCAAGTATGGGTGTACAAGGAAATTGGCAAGAGTATGCAAGATAACTGATTCACGATCCCATGTACAGGGCCAAGTTCGTGGTGACTTACAACGCGATTTGGATAGCTTCAGGCCTTGACTTTGGTTGCTATAGCTTCAGGAGGTTGTTGGCAAGAGAGCTACGTTGTGATTTGGGATTGAATTGGCCTCCAATGTTGTTTTTGATCTCTCACTTTTCAAGCTTTTTTCACCAATTTGCTCTGGCCGTTTCAACAATGTTCTATGCGTGTTTTAGGTTTGTGTAGCTTGTATGCATATAATGGAATGAGTTTAGGTCAAAATTTGGGCCAATATCCATGTGCATTGAAGAATCAAGATTGGATTTTGATCACCATTAACATGTTTCCAAATATAGGCCAAATCTGATTTTTTGTACATAACCAAGCTTGATACGAATTTGATTTGGCTCATAATGATAATTGCAAGTTGTACAAATCACTAGAATCCCTTTACATCAATTTTTAGATTTTATTTGATTTAATATTGATTTAAAATGAATTAAATCAATAAAAATAAAATAAAATAGAAAAATAAATGAATGGCCATGAAATTAAAGATGGAACACGTGTGTGGCATGGAAAGACTATATCAAGTGGAAAAAAGTGGGCCCTTTTGTCAAAAATTGGAGTTTTGAGGATAGTTGACTTTTGGCAAATTTGGAAAAATGCCCAACTTCAACAATGCATAACTCCCTCAATTTTGAACTTTTGGATGTGTTCTTGGACTTTTTAGAAACCTTGAGATGTCCTGTAATTAACCCTTTTGGTCTCATCTCATTTTGATGTTCCATGCTCAAGTTATAAGCTTTGGAAAAAAAGGTGTTTTTGTTGACTTTCAAATATGACCTATAATGTCCAAATTTGTAACATCTTGTGAGTGCATTTCTTGATCTTGGGGTGTGAAGATGGATTGTAAGAAATTGCATCTTCTTCAAAATGAGCTTTGAATGGGTCATTTCTCATAAAGTATGAGAAAGTTATGCTTTGTCAAAGTTGAGTTGACTTTTCCTGTAAAACCCTAATTTAGCAACTTTTGAATCTTGATGAATCTTGAACAATCCTTGATGAATCATGATCAACCCTTGATAAAATGATGAATTATACTTCAAAATGAGAATGTTGACAAAAAATCTTGAGGTTTGACTGTATTTGGGACACAGTTGACTTTTGCCCTAGCATAGTCGATTTTTGGGTCTCTTGAGCAATTGACTGACCAAACTTCCTCTGTGAGGCTTGAAATTTGACATGGATGAACTTAAGAACATATTAAGACATTGGGAAGAACTTGAGGTCATTTGGATGTGAGGACCTTGATGCAACACAAAACCCTAATTTTGACTTGACTACCTTAGGAGGTGATTTGACTGTCCAACTCTTGAGCCAACTTGAGCAACTTGAAGATCATTCTTGACAAATCTTTGAGAAATATGGGAGGGAAAATTTTGGGGTACAACACTGCCCCTTTAGATCTTTGAACTGGTCGGTGAGAATGATATGGTTTGATGTTGTGTATGCTATGCACCAAGAAAAAATGTAAGGTAGTGAAAACAAGTAAGTTTTGCAAAAAATCCAGGTTATTAGATAATGACTACAAAAAAATCCTGCAAGGAATTCACGTCGTTAGACAATGAATACAAACAAACCCTGGAAGGAGTTCAAGTTATTAGATAATGCGAACAAGTCACACAAGTAGCCTTAGGTTCAGGCTCACATGGAGTTTGTAGGTAAGTACCCTCTTGAAGTTTAGTTGGTTCGACCAGTCCTAAAAAAAGTAATTGGGTTCTAAGGAATCTCAATATCACTGATCTTTCTTCATCGGGCATTGTTTCTGCACAAGCTTCTTTATTAGCGACCGAAATATCCCGAAAGTCCGATCTCAATGAGTGTAGTATCGAGTATCAATCAATCTTCATCTTTACACCAAAGTCGGCTATCTCACTGCTTTCTAATGGCCAAGTTGTTCAATTAAGGTTCTACGGTCAGTTAGTGCTTCATGACACCACACAACAGCCTCATATTCTCCTTAATTCAACATAAGGGACACCTGTACCAACAAATGTGTCACACTAACTGTCGTAACCCAAATTTGTCCTACCCCCGATGATTTTATCTTCCAAGATTAGAATAATAAAGAAGCGTTTAACGAAGGGTGGTACAACAATATCTGATGGCTCATTCTTAATATTTAAGTCAATCAGGGGTGTATTTTTAATTCAGGAAAACGAGACTTTCTAAATCAGAAAGACTCGCGTATCCGTGAATTCATTCGCGAGACATGTTGGCCATTGGCCCATGCGATTCATAAATGGAAATTAATGGAGTAACTGTAAAATTCTAAATTGTTAAATGGTCGTTGGTAAAAGGGAGGTTGAAATTAAATTTGTCCGCCTTATTGCTACCGTCAAACTTATTTTCGAATTTGAGTGTTACAGATATAAAATTCCTTTGATTTAATTATATTAACATTCTGAGTTTTTAATAAAAAAAATTTGCTTTCAAGTCTTGTTTGTAAATATAATAATTATTTGTATTATTTGTAAAAAAATAGAAAATAATTGTTCGCTGTCATATACTTTCAATTAGCATTTTACTTTTGAATAATTAACATAGCACAATTGGAAAGGGAGAAATACTAACAAGTAAAAGGTCACAAGTTTGAATCTCACCCGGTGCACTTTGGATATTTTGAAAATAAATTAGCATTTTGCTTTCAAGTTTTATTTATTATATTTTGAAAATATTTTTTTTATTAAAATATTTTTTTTATTTAAAAAATAGTCAAAATAAATTATAAATAGATAAAATTTAATTTAGACCTTTTATTCACTTTGGGCTAACTTTCTCTCTAAGTTTTTAATCTAACTTTACTCTATAAATATGATTTATTGTTGTCCTAATTTGTGGGGGACAATTTCTAACCTATTTTTTCGCACACATTCACATACTCCAACCCTTATTTCTTTCATTCCACAAAAACCTCATATTCTCTTATACAAAATCATGTACCCCCACTTTTCTTCTTTTTGCACTGTAAATTCAAATTCACTTTTCACGTGCAATTTCCCATGAACCAACTTTAACAAAAATCTCATCAACCAAAACAGAAACCTTACAGAAGTTCATGTTCATACCATTGACACAAGCTCAAAACTGATGCAACCACAAATCATCATCATTTTAGCAAGCACCCAAACAACAAAATACATCTCAATAGCAACAAAGACATAGAAAAGGAAACGGGGAAATGACTCAAAGAAGTATTGTATCAATTGTCGTCGTCAGAAACGGTGTCTTGCAGCCAACCATCACCAGATTCGCACACTCCGGCCACCGGCGAATCTGAAACAGCCTCTGCAGACTCAGCCGTGACCAACTGCGCAGAATCTCCGAAACAACAACCACCAAGTCCACTGCGAGAAACTGTCTTCCTCTGACGCAACAACAACTTCATCTATCGTGCACGACATCCACCGTCCTCGCATATGTCGTACCGTCCAATCGAAGCCGCGGATCCAGCCACCACGGCCAGATCTCCGACGATGCCAACTCTACACCACACACCACCACTAGCGGTTTCCCTATGGCAGGTTCCGTTTTCATTTTTTTTTTCCCCTTTGTTTCTCATGTAGATGAGATATTAGTGTATGGTTAATTGAAATTGTGAAGAAGTCAAAATAAATTTGTGTTTCTACTGATTGAAAACCAAGCACCTCCATGTACATGGCTTTTCGTTTATTTAGTAATTAAGTTTTTATTTATTTGATTTATTCTCTTATTTAATTTAGTTATTCATTTTTGTATGTAGATTTTGTTTGCTTAATTTGGTCTGTGTATTAACCTCAATTTGGTGCATTTCTTAAATTAGTTATAAAAAAATTAGAAAAACAAAAAGATAGTAATGATGAATTTCAAAATTCTAGAATTCAACTTGTACTATTAGTTTGTGCTAAACCTCGTTCATTCTATTTATTTAAGTTTTTGTTTTGTTTTTTAGTTAATTATTTTCAATTATTTATTTAGGATTAAATTAGTGTTGGTCATTTCATTAATTATTTAATTTTAGTTATTAATAAAAATAGCAAAAATAATAAACACCTTTTTTTTAAATCAAATTAATTTAAATATTTTACAAATCATGGGATACACATCCTCGAATAATCAATAAGTCGACTTGACGTCACACTAATTGATTATCCAATTCAAAACATTTAAAAATCACCAATAAATTAAATCAATTATTTCGCCTAGTGCGAACTAATTTCAATGAAGATCGACTCTTCTTCAATCCACCGAATTAAAATATCAAAATAGCTAACCAATCTAAATTATTATTTTTTTACTAAAATGATAAAACTCAAGAACATTTAAAAAAAAGGATTAAGGCGAATTACTTTCAAAATTAACTGCGAATTGCGTCTACAATCACTCACTTTTCAAAATCCAGACAAGATTCAAGGATAAATTCGAAAGCAATTCAACGCGATCCTATAAAAAACACCGACCCATACGAACTACGAATTGAGACTCTGATTTCTAATAAGAGGATACGTAGGCACACGATCTAAAATCGTGGCGAGTCTTGCTAATTAAAACTTAAAACACCGTTTACCCCAAACATAAACCTAGGGTTAATATCCTTGTAAACAAGGTGGATGAAAGGTGTCTAACACCTTCCTTTCGTCTAATTGAGTCCATAACCTAGAATCTTTGTCAGCGCATTAGGGGTTTCTGTTAGGTTCCATTCCTTAGGATAAAAACTAATAGTGGCGACTCTTGATTTAAAAATCGGTCGCTACACTAACATAGTCATCGTTTCAACTGTGTCGGTATTATGCTGCATAGTCCCCACGATCTATTTCTACTTACCTAAAATGCCCCAGATCCGGGTGTAGGATCTTTATAAGAATAAACCCAAGCATAACCCACAAATGTAAAGCAAGCAAGACAAACAAATAAAGCAATAAAGGTGATCTAGCTCTTAAGGTAACCCCAATTTTCTAGTCTTCCCCAGCAGAGTCGCCAGTTCTGTAATACCGTGGGAGAACTGACTTGATGTTTTTGCATTTTATCGCAATTGTTGCGGATAGTAAGAGTCACCACCGACTTTTCTTTTATCCAATAAAGGAAAGGGTGAAAAGAACGGGAAAGACCTTTTGAGAATTTTCTTGAGTTCGGGGGTAGTTATGAAAAGGGAATGTGTTTACACCCTTTTCATCTGTAGTTATCTACGGGCTCTTAATTGCTAGCTCACTTTGTAATGCTTTGTGTTTTGTGTAAGTTTTGAAAATGCCTTTGTGCAACAAACTTTGTAATGATTCTCGTATCGTTGAAAATGTATACAAAGCGTTGGTTTTGAAAATATTTGTTGTTTGGAAAGTGTTTGAAATATGTTTTGAAAGTGTGAGGTGTGAAGATTGTTTTGATTTATGAGCAAGCAATTGTGAATAATTTACCGACTCAAAAAAGTTTTTGTTCTTTTCCTCCTCCTTTAGATAGTGTTATTCTACCATTAGTTAGTAGAAAGCCCTATTGTTGGATGTTAGGGACAAACGCGGGTCATCGTACAGGCATAGAAGGCAATTTCTAGGACGCTTTAGCAATTTTCGTAAGGGACTAAGATCATTTTACCAAAGGCAACATCAAAGGGTCATCGAGGGACTACGATCTTTTTTTTATCGAGGGTCTTTACTAAATCGTCCCATATTCGAGGGACACGACTGTTTTATCCGAGGCAACAAGTATGGGTTACCCTAGAGGTGCGCGTGTGAAAAGTGTTTTGATTTCATGTATTTGTCTTTGATTAAGGTTATCTAGTAGTCGATTTTAAATTTTGTCATACACGCCTAATTACTATACAGTATAAGCAAATATGATAAAGTGCAGAAAATAAAGTTCTACGCTGTTACAACGCTTCGAGAATGGGGGTAAAATTTTTGAACAGGGGAAAGAAAGCAATAAAGTCTTAATTACTATTACAAACCATTGTACATGAATAATAATAGAATGTACAAAAATGTAAAGATTAAAGAGGAAAAAGAAATTGTCTTTTTAGGGTTTTCGATGAAAAGGTTTAGAGATTAACCTAATTAAGCTAATTAATTTAAAGGAGAATTTTTAAATAATTATTTAATAAAACCTAAAGTATAAGTTAATTTAAAAAGTAAATTAAATAAACCTAAGTCTAATTTAATTTTAATTCTAAAAAGAAAAGATTAATTAATTAAGAAAATATTTTTGGTGTTTTATTCATCAAAATAAATAAGGTGAAAATAAAATAAAATTAGAAAATCATTTAAGAAAATGTATTTTTTATATTTTTGGTTAAAATAAAATAATAAAAAACAAAAATTAATAAAATTAAAAAAAAAATATAAAGAATATAAGAATATTGGGCTTAGGTGTTAGAAAGTAAAAAAGGTGTGAAAAGTACTTTTGTTAAGCCCAAACAGTTTGTGTTTAATCAGAAAATAAAATATAAAAAAATAGAAATGGGCTTGAGCATAACAAGTAATCAGGGGGGTATGCTGAAGGAAAATAGGTTGGCCCGAAAAATCTGTTTTTTGCTAGAAAAGAAGAAAAAAGTTTGTGAAGTAGTAAAGGAGGGGTTGCACTAAAGGAAAATTGAGCCCAATAAGCTCCCAATGCTAGATCCTATGTGTGGCTTGAGTGGGGATGCACCGTGGATGCGCGGATATGGACTGCATGATGATGATCAAATGATGTTGAATGAAAATGCACGATAGCTATGGTGGATGTACCTGCGTGGGATCACAGAGAATCCATAATAGTGGTGACAAGTGTCACCATTTGAGGCATGTTAAATGATTTTTTTTAAATCAAAAACTAAACAATGATCAAAATTAAAAAATTATTCATAAAGAAATAAACATTATTTCTCTTCTTCCCTGAGTTCTCTCGCCTCTCTCTATTTTTGGGGCTCGCCGGGAATCCTTGCCGGAAATCACCCACGATGGCGATGACGGCGGCTCTCACGGCGACTTGGCTCCAATCCTCATTTTTTTACATCATTTTGTTCGTCTTTTTCTTCTGATCCTAATTCAAGTGCTTGATTTTGCAGATGCTTAACGATTTTACATAGATCTTGAAAGGGAAGGTTGAAACCCTAGGTGATCAAAAGCAAAAATATGATGGTGATGATGACGCGCGATTGATGTTGATAATCGGTGATGATGATGTGCGATTGATGATGAAGATGATTCCTTTTCGGTGAGATCTCTCTGATTCCTCTTATCTGTTTTACAATTTGTTTACAATTGTTTTTCCTCTTGTTCTTTCTCTGTAATTTGTGAAACCAGTGTTATCCTTTTTTGCAAATTTATGAAGGATTTGGGTTTGGAAAATGATGAAACACAAATTAGAGTTTTGTTGTTTTGGCTCTGTTTCTGTAAAATTTGTTCATTGGGTATTTGGCTTTTGTTGAAATTGTGAGCGATTTTTGAAAGGGGCTTTCAATCTAGGGTTTGCGGTTCTTTGCCACTGTTTCTGTATATTTGTGAACTCTGTGTTGTGTTTTTTGTGAACTCAGTATTTGGTTTTCACAATCTTGGAGGTTTTGGTTTTGTGGCTGTATATTGGGCTTTTTGGCTATGTGGTTGTGTTGTCCCCTTTACTGTTTGATCAAAAGTTGTTTTTATAGGTGAAAATTGGGAGGGAAAATGGATGATGTTTGAACAATTTTGGCATGCTGTCTCATAGCTTTTGTATGCAGGTTCCTTTTGCTTATTTCTGTGCATTTGTTGACAGGTTTTGGACTGGTATGCAAGGGCTGTTTTGGACTATTTTGTTTGTTTTTTCTGATGCATAAATGTTTTGCTGAATTTGGGACTATTTTTGTGACGAAATTCTATTTGCATTCTTCAGCGACTTTTTTTCTTCTATTGTGAACCAAAATCAAACTTTTGTGATTTGCAGTAGAGGATTTTCTTAGGCGAATGATAGAACAAAATTGTGTGAGGCTTTTGTTGCCTGATGGGCTTTGCAATTTTATTTGCTATTGGGTTGGACTATGATGGAATTCTATTTTTTTGAATCTTTGAATTTGTTTATTGTGAACCGATTAATTTGTGATTTGCAATAGACCTAGGCCTATGATTGAATCCAATTTTGTATGAGGCCTTAATATACACTTGAGCATGAGAAACGACCTTTTTTCTGATTCCTTAAACAAAACCCTGTCATGAATTTGAAAATTCTTGTTTGTTGTTCAAGTTTTGATGATTGTACTAACTATTTCTCCTATCTTTGTTTCATGTATGGTTGATGAGGAAATGAAGATTATACTTGAAGATGAAAGAGAGCAGTCGTAGAAGGGAAACGATAAAGCTGGGCATGGAGAAAATGATGGTTTGAAGGAGACATAGAAGTGTTATAAATTAGGTCTTAGGAACCTTTGTAGAAACTGTAAACTTGTAACTTCAATATTCTTGTTCA